ACACACACACACACACACACACACACACACACACACACACACACACACAAAGTGACAGGCTAGACATAATGATGGAAGAAGTGGGAGAAGCCAAGGACATCTGCATCTGGGACACAAAAACAGAGAAGGAGCTAGTTTCTGGGGGAAGATGATAACTTTCATTTTGAATGTACTGATTCTGATTTACAGTAAATCATACACAGTGGTTATCTCTTTCCCTATCACTTCCAATTTCTGGTCAAAGTATAATTCTGAATAATGTTCTCAGGAATGAGGGTGTTTCCTCTACAGGCCATGAATAATTAGCTCTCAAGAAGAGGTGATGCTTTAATGGGGAAAGCAACATTTATTGAACCCTTATCAAGTGCTGGGTTCTCTGCATTCAGTTTCTCATTAACCCTTCAAGCAGCCCTGGAAGGCAGGTACCATTTTACAAATGAGGAAGCCCAGGTTCTGAGAGGATGAGAAACTACCTAAGGCCGTGCAGTTAGTAAGTGGCAAGTTGTGTCTTGCCAACCAACCACACCATCTCTGAAAGCATCATGTGTGGCCTCATATATCAGTTTCCTAGGGCTGCTGTTAACAAATTACCACACACCAGGAGGCTTAAAACAACTGAAATGTATTATCTCACAGTTGATTTCAGAGGTCAGAAACCAAGGTGTTGCCAGGTTTGGTTTCTTCAAAGAGTTGAGGGGGTGGAGGGAATCTGTTCCATGACTCTCTCCTAGCTTCTGGTGGCTGCAGGCCACCCCTGGCTTCCTTGGTTTGTAGATTCCCCATTCCAATCTCTGCCTCCATTATTACATGGCATTCACATGGCCATCTTCTTATAAGAAATAGTCATATTGGATTAACCCTTGCCCCAGTCCAGTGTGATCTCATTTTAACTATTACATTGACAACGACCTTATTTGGAAATACTAAGATACTGGGAGTTAGGATTTCAACATATCTATTTTGAGGAATGCAATTTAACCACAACACCTCATTAAGTTGACTAAGCCCTGGAGTTAAGAAGAAACTCTTTCTGATTTGAAGGATTTTGCACAAAAATTGACTTCATTTCCTATTAGATTTCTAAGAAACTGCCAAGATTTCTAGAATTCCTATAAGAGATTATTTTTTTGTTTTTTTGAGTTGGGGGTCTTACTCTGTTGGAGTGCAGTGGCACCACACAATCACAGTTCACCCAGCCTTAACCTCCTGGGCTCAGGCAATCCTTTGGCCTCAACCTCCCAAGTAGCTGGGACTACAGGTGTGCTAACATGCCTGGCTAATTTTTTTTTTTTTTTTTTGGTAGAGATGAGGCTTGCTATGTGGCCCTGGCTGGTCTTGAACTCCTGGACTCAACCAGTCCTCCTGTCTCAGCTTCCTAAAGTGCAAGGATTGATGGCATGAACCACCATGGCCAGTCCAGTAATTTCTTCTTAATTCTTATGATTCCTCCTACATCCCTACAACGATCAATCCATTGCCACTTTCTACAAACACAAACTGGCTGGCACGGTGGCTCAGGCCTGTAATCTCAGCCCTTTGGGAGGTTGAGGGAGGAGGATTGCTTGAGACCAGTTAGAAACCAGCCTGGGGAGCACAGCAAGACCCTATCTCTACAAAGGACACACACACACACCCACCCTATCTCTACAAAGGACACACACTCACACACACTCACCTTTCCTGCCTCCTGAATTCCCTGTTTTTCTTTTTTGTTGTTGTTGTTTGTTTTACAAAACTGGCTAAAGTCTCTCCACTTCCAGAAAGAATCCTTTTCTTTCCACGCCTTACGTTTCCAGGTTCAATTCCTTACAGTTGCCTCTTCCTTAGGAAGATACACTAGCTTCCCGACCCCTCTCCTTGCTCCCAGGCTCTTCGCTTTCAATCCAGTCTCACATTGTCTGTCTATACAGTATATGGCCCACTTTCTAGAAATCCCTCTCCAGTCTCACCCTGCAAATCAAAAACTTCGGGGGCTTCGGGCTACCTAGTGGAGCTATTCAACTACTTCACCCCGCATCAAGGACCAACCAAATTTCGCGCCAGACTCATCTCCCTCCATCCCTTCCAAGTGGAATCCTGGTCCCGACGCCTAAGTCATCTTCTCCCCCTCGCCTTTCCCTCGTCCCGTGCCACCCGTTTCCCTTCTGAGCTCCTGACACCTCGCCATCGCTCCCAGTTATTCCATTCTACCCGGTGAAACCCTTATTTGTGTGCCAGACTGCGCTCCTCGCGCCCCAGGCTGGGCTCCCATGGAAGCACCGCACTCTACGTGTCTAGAATAAACCCAGGGAGTCTCCACGACCAAGGGGCCGTGCCAACCGCAGGCTAAAACCGGCCTAGGCAGGCGTCTCCTTCTCGGAGATTCGGCCCAGCAGCTCTCAGGGGTCGGTCGGGGCGAGCACGTTTCCCCGACTCAGTGAGCTGAGTCTGCCGCCAGCCATAGGGCTTCGGCCGGGGCCCTCCCGTAAGCCCGCAAACACGCGACAGGCGATCTACCGCTGAGTGAGACGCACCTCCGGCCGGCCCCGGAACGCCGCTTGGACCCGACCCTTTCCGCCGAGAGCTGGCCGGCCGCTTTTGGGCAAAGCACGCAGGAACCGGAAGTCGGTAGAGGAAACCCGGAACGCGGGCGCCTGCTGATAAGTTGGAAGATGAGCGTTCCCGGTCTCCTCTTGGCGGGAGGTAGGGTCCCTGGAGTACTGGGCTAATGTTCGTCTGTCATTAGCCCCCTGAGCCTGGAGTGTTTAATTCCTCAAGTCCCAGTCCCCTTCTTGGTGCCCCAGCCAGCTTAGCTGACCGGGAGGTTCTGGTCTCCGAGCCTCTGGACTTTCGGGATTCCCTGGCCTAGGGATCCACGGCGGCTCCTTCTTGGATTGGGCCGCAGGCGGAGGCCTCGGATTCTAACCGCCGCTGGCTCACCTCGGCTGCGTTATTTTCCCGTGGCCGCGATGTTCGAGTGACTTCCCACTGGGTTTACAAAGTTATTCATTGTGTGGTGTTTCGTCTACCCGCAAAATGCGCCACGTAGTTGAAACGTTTCTTAGAAGCGTATACAATTTAGGTTTTTCTGGTTCCACTAGATGAAATACTAGTGGAAATGGAAGTGAAGATAAATCTTAACAGGAAACATTGGTTACAGAACGGCCCCTCAAAAAGTTAAAAATATTAAAAACGTTAAGCAGTTGAAGTCATCATTTCAACTACGTTCGTATTGAGAGGTATGATATAGTTTCTAGGTAGTAAAACTTAGGAGCGATCGACAAAAATCAGAAGACATCTCTTGTGGCTTGTTTCAACAAAAGTCTTATATAACTATATATAGCTTTTGGGGGTTAAAGTAAAAGCCAGAATAATCTTTATTCCTTGGAAACACGTTTGTAAGATGTTAATAATAAGATGAAAAGATTCAGGACACATTTATTTGTACACAGCACATACACTGATGAAAACATGTGATAAAATGGAATATGCCTGTAAATGAATCTCTTAGGGAGAGTTTATAGGTGATTGACTCCACTGTGTAAGGTACACAGCTTATATCCTCCTCCTAAATAAATGTTTGCGGTAACCAAAAAGGATCAAATTTTAGGAATAAAATTTCTTGAAGAATGTCAACACATTTTTTAAAGTTCTTAAAAATGGGCCAAATTACAGTTACACACACATATATATACATATATATGTGTATACATATACACATACACATAGTTAAAGTGAATCCTATTTTGAAGATGATTCTCCATGGCAATTTAATATGGCCCACTAGTTATGGAAATTATGGAAAAGTCTACATGACTTTGCAAAGGATCTTGTCAAGCCTGCAACTAACACTAAAGGAGGTAAGACATCCCAACTTACATTTTGTTAAATTTTCCTTTTAGGGAGGTGGAGATGCTTTCCGGTTCCATTGGGGTTATCCCTGTTCCAGGCTCTACATAATTCCTGCTGTCGGAAAAAATCCACTAAGAAAATTATTCCCAATGTTACTTTTTGTGATGAAAATGCAAAGGAGTCCACAAATGCATTTGACAAGCTCTTTTCTTCAGAACAGCAGGCTTCCATCTTGCATGTGTTGAATACTGCATCTAATAAAGAACTTGAAGCTTTCAAATTGCTTCGTGGAAGAAGGGCCATCAATATCGTAGAGCACAGAGACAAGTTTGGGCCATTTCAGAATTTGGAAAGTTTAATGAATGTGTCCTTATTCCAGTATAAAACTACAGTCCAAGTTTGTAACTCTATACTTTGTCCAGAGTCTGGAAAGAAAAAAAGAAAACTACAGGAAAACCGGCTTTTGGGAAAGCTCCTCAAACCAGATGTAGGAAGAGAAAGACTTAAGGTATATTATTTTTCTTAGTGTCTATTATACTGCCTAATATTTGAGAATCTACTCTGTAAGGCATCAGGTTGGGGAGTTACAAAGAGAAATTACTTCAGGTTTAGTTGTTGGATCTAAACATGCTCACATAAACAAATAACTTATTATACGAAGTGGTATGTGATCACTACCAAATGAGAGGTACAGCTAGTAAACTGACAATTGAGAGGAAGGAAACTGAGCTGTGGCTGTTGGGGAAAGTCTACTGGAAGAACTCAATTTGGATCTTAAAAAGAGAGAGTTAGGCTGTCTGGAAGAGGAGGGCATTCTAAATAGGTAGAAAGAACAGTTGATGTTGAGAAGTAGGTCTTTGCAAAGCTTATTTAAGAGGAGTGTTGTAGAGATAACCAGGCTGTTTCTAAGGATAATGTTGGGAGTGAGAAATTAAGGTGCAAAGATGGGCTATGGCTAAAGAGGAACTTTAGAAAATAGTACAAGTCTTTCCAACAGGATTTAAAATTATTTCCTGTTCCTGCTTATCTGCCTCTACATCTATAGAACATAACTAGTTTTGTCAACATAAATAAATGAGATATGTGAGGATAAGCTGATAGTGCTGTACTGTATTTCCTGCCTAGACTTGGGATGGAGCCAAATCCATATATCCAATTATTTATTATATATATCTCCTCTTAGAAGCCCTCTAGATAACCCAACTTAATATATTAAAAAAAAACCAAAAAACTAATTTCCCCTCACCTTCCCAAGCTGATGTGCCTCTATTTTCATCTTCATTAATGATGCCATTTAGTCATTGGAGTAAACTGGAGTTATCCTAGACTCTGCCTTCAACCTATATGAGGGGGACCCAAAATAAAAAGCCCTGGAATTTATTTAAAAATTATGTATTTATTTTTACATGTTTAAATGTCAGTAACCTATGTACTCTCCATTTTAATGCAGTACACCTAATTGAGACGCTTATTCCACCACCCAAAACAGCTTTTGAGCTCGTCAATTCCAATGCCCTTTAGTGTTTCTACTGTTTTTTTGTTTCCCTTTGAGGACTTTTTTCATCTGGGGAAACAAAAAAAGCTGCTCAGGGTGAGATCGGGTGAATAGAGAGGGTGGGGCACAGGAGTCATGCCGTTTTGGATCCGAAACTGCTGACCACTCTGCACAGTGTGGGCAGGTGTGTTGTCATGGTGGAAGAACCAGTCACCTGTTTGCTACAACTTGGGACACTTCTTCCATAAATTGTGGTGCAGCTTTCTCAAAATTTACAGATAAAAACTTTGGTTGACCATTTGCTCTGGACGAACAAATTCTGAATGTACTACAAGGGACCTGTCCTCCAAAAGATAATTCTGGTTTTTTGGGGATACCCCCAATATCATCTTACTCCCACCATCTCCACTCTTTTCCTTCTGTCATTGTCTTTGATTCTTAATACTTGGTCACTTTATAATGGGTACCTAACACACATTCTTACCTTTAGTCTAGTCCCTCCAGCCTATCTTCCACACCACTGTGAGTGATTTTTCTGAAATGTAAATCTCATGTTATTTCTTTTTTTTGAGTTGGAGTCTCACTGTCGCCCAGACTGGAGTGCAGTGGCTGCTCCCGGCCACCGCAGCCTCGACCTGCTGGGCTCCGGCAATCCTTCCGCCTCAGCCTTCCAAGTTAGCTGGAACTATAGGCGCGTGCTACCACGCCCGGCTAATTTTTTTGATTTATTGTAGAGATGAGGTCTCACCTGCCCAGGTGGGTCTTGAACCCGCAGGCTCAGGCAATCCACTCACCTCAGCCTCCCCAAGGCGTGGGATCACAGGCTGAGCCACCGAGCTCGGCTCTCATGTTATTTCTTAAATTCTGTGTTTTGGTGGTCCCCCCACTGTAGCTCTCAGGATAAAGCAAGTTACTTAACGACAGAAATCTGCTCACTCCTTGCCCTTTTCCCATTCTTTAGTCTTTATTCCACTGGCAGAGTGGGTGATGTCAAACAGCCTATCTCTGCAGACACCTGGGTGAAATAACTTCCTTTTTACCTTCTTATTCTCCTAGTCCTCAGTAAACCTTCCCTGACTGCTTCTCCTCTCTATACTGGTTTACGGGAGCATTTTTTTGTTTGTTTGTTTTTGGTGTGAAAGACTTAGGGAGACAATTCTATTTATTGTCAAGGACCGGTAAACAAAGTCTGGAAATCTACATAGTGATCATGAGCAACAGGACACAAGCAGGGTGGAGAAGAGATATAATAACACACAGCATTACTTGGGAGAGAGCTCTAGCTCTTCATTCTGACTCTTGAACCCAGGAGAGATGGCTGCCCTTTTTCACTAAGACTGCAACAGAATGGAAATGTGACTCAGTATATCCGCTCCTACAAGACAGGCAGAGCAAGAGGCTATTTTAAGCTGGTGTTGGGAGCCCTCATCCCAAGCAGAGAGTGGATGCTGAAGGTGGTCTCTGGCTGCCGCTGGTGGCAGGTCCCTGGCTCTCTAGGTCCTGGGCATCTCTTGATTCCCAATGATCAACTTATCAGTTGAATATAGTTGGCCAATGTGGACCTGTTGACGAATTAGTTCAAGGTCTCTTGGCTTTATTCACTAGGGCTTGAATTTCTATAGGATCCTTTACATTTTTATTTTCTCTGAAGGCATCTCTTATCCTCCTGACAGCATATGTTCTGTAATTGTAGATGCTGAAACGCTTGCTGTCTCTCAGCATCGCCCAGTACAGATCTAACACTCATGCGCGGCTGGAGGCTATTTTGGAAATGAAAAAAAAAAAAATTAAATAAAAAAAAAATCTGGTAGCATTTCTTATAAGGTATAGTTATGTTCTTTGTTTCCCATTATCTAGCACAGACCTGGCTGCACTTGAGTATTTGAGTGTCTACTTTGGGCTAGGTGCTGAGAATGAGTAAAGGTTCTTTGTCTATAGGCAGACTGCTGCTGGTTACCTTTTAGTAATTACTCCTGCATTTCTTTAACAATTCTCAGTTCATAAACTGTAAATAAACTTATATTACATTAGCTAGACATTCTGAGTTTGTAGGTTAGGTTTTATATCTGTTGTTTACACTTCTAATTAAACCAGCCTTTTCTTTTAGGCAGTTAATAGTATCGTATCTATTGTTTTTGGTACTCGAAGAATTGCCTGGGCTCACCTTGATCGTAAATTGGCAGTGCTGGATTGGCAGCATAGCGACCGTTGGAGATTAATGAACAGAACTTACCCATCGTCATTCTATTTAGAAGAGGTAAGGCAGTTGCACCTCCATATTCCTACCTACCAGAGCTTCTTGTGTAGTTTAATCTTCTAGTCCCAAGAGGAAGGTAATAAAACAGCAAGGATGGATTTTCTTTTAGTTCTTACTACTCACTGGTTCCTGTTATGTTTTCTGTTACCTCTGTTACCTTTAAAATTGAATCTTTCTTCAGTTAGTTCAAGAAATACTTATGCATCAAAGGCAGATACTGAGAAAATCAATGGTAAATTACTTTATTCTAAATGTTATAGAACATCATCACTCTTATATTTGTAAAATTTTTCAAAATGCTATCACATTTTCTCCTTTGAGTCTTTAAAACCTTGTGCAATGGGTAGGAATTATCACTTTCATCACACATGTAAAAACTATGGTTCAGTCAACCATCTGATGTGATTTTTTTTTTGAGTCAGAGTCTCACTCTGTTGCCCAGGCTACAGTGCAGTGGCATGCCCACAGGCACCTCAGCCTTCCAAGTAGCTGGAACTACAAGTACATGCCACCAAGCCTGGCTAATTTTTTTATTTATTGTAGAGATGAGGTCTTGCCAACTTGCCCAAGCTGGTCTCAAACCCCTGGGCTCAGGCAATCCTCTCGTCTCCACCTTCCAAGGTGCTGGGATTACAGGTGTGAGCCACTGTGCCCAGCAATAAGAAATTTTTTAGGGGTTAATAAATGTTTTAAGTTGTCTAGTCTTAAAGCCAATATAGATTTTAGAAATTATGAAGCCCATCTTACAGATGAAGAAACTGATACTTTAGGACTAAACAGCTTATCTTACATCAGTGTGTTCCTGACAGAACCATGACCAGAACTTGGCTGCCCATAAAATACCTTTTCAATTATTTCAAAACTGTCAATACCATTATAATGTAAGTTATCAAATTATCATATTTTTAAATAGAAGTGGGCCAGAGAGGAGACCAAACATAAAACTTAATGAATTGTTTCTGCTCACTTACTTTATCTTTTTTTTCCCCCCCAAAGATTTCTTCAGTCATTTCAAAGATGCCTAAAGCAGATTTCTATGTTCTGGAAAAAACAGGACTTCCCATTCAGAACTCATCTCTATTTCCTATACTATTACATTTTCATATCACGGAAGCCATGCTGTATGCATTATTAAATAAAACTTTTGCCCAGGATGGGCAGCATCAGGTGCTGAGCATGAATCGAAATGCAGTAGGGAAGCACTTTGAACTGATGATCGGTGACTCCCGGACTAGTGGAAAAGAACTAGTGAAGCGGTTCCTCTCCGAGTCTGTACTGAAGGCGGATCCTCGGGTGTTCTTCCCAGCAGATAAAGTAGTCCACTACAGAGAGATGTTTTCATCTACTGAACCACAAAGAGTAGAAGAGTTATATGATTCATTATTACAGGCTATTGCCTTCTATGAATTAACAGTTTTTGACTCTGAGCCTTAGAATTCTGAGGTTAATGTACTAAAGTTAAATTAATTTATTAGCTCTAAAGTTGTAAAAGCAGCTGTTGTGAACATCAATGTTAATGGAGAAAAAAACACATTTTGAGTGTATTTTAGATGTTTAAAGTCTATTGACTACTAGAATGGTTTACACAATAAGCCAAGACCAAATCAATAAATATTTTGAGATTCTGTGCCTTTCAGGTTTATGTGTTAAACAGTAAGATGCCCCCAAAATAGCCAAAACCAGAAACAAAGTTATCTCTCTTTGAAAGCAAATTTCATCTGTACTAAGGATTTGCACTATTACCATATTGTTAAAATACAGAATAACAATTTTCCTGGGTGGTGCTCATTATGAGAATAGAGCTGAAAACAACTGATAACACAACTTGTAGAATCCTCTTCTCTTCTCTGCTTAGAATGTGGTTTGCCACATTGCCTCTAAAAGGTGGTATTTTTATTATTTAGAAACCGGGTCTCACTCTCACCCAGGCAGGACTTCAGTAGGAAAATCAGCTCGCTGCAGCCTTGACTTCCTGGCCTCAAGCCATCCTCCCACCTCAGCCTCCTGAGTAGCTAGGACTACAGGCATGCACTACCACACCTGTCTAATTTTAAAATTTCTTATAGAGATGAGCTCTTTTGATGTTACTCAGGCTGGTCTTGAACTCCTGACCTCAAGACATCCTCTTGCTTCAGCCTCCCAAAGTTCTGGGATTCTAGCCAGGAGCCACCATGCCCAGCCTTCTAAAAGGTGACTTTCATCAGTTCAAATCTGTTAACTCCAGAGAAAACAAGCTTTGTCTAATAGGCTCATTTTTTAACTCTGCAATGTTTTACTTGACAGACCACCTTTTGATAAAAGGAGCATTTAATTTTTTCCCCCACGCTTCTCCATTTTTCCATTATGTCTGCTTTAGTGGAGGCCCTCGATGTATCTCCTATACTGAACCCAAGTCTCTTTGATGTCAAAATATTAAATCTCAGTGGTGAGCATCTACTCAGGAGGCTAAGGCGATCTGCTTGAGCCCAGGAGTTTGAGGTTGCAGTGAGCTATGACCATGTGACTGCATTCCAACCTGGGCAACAAACAATGAGACTGCTCTAAAAAAAAACGGGAAAAAAAGATGACTGGATGCAATGACTCATGCCTGTAATCTCAGTTCTTTGGGAAGCCAAGGTGGGAGGATCACTTGAGGCCAGGAGTTCAAGACCAGCCAGGCAACATAGTGAGACTGTCTTTAGATGAGATCAGGTGCATTCAGGGTGGCATGGCTGTAGATGAGATCTTGTCTTTAAAAAAAAAAAAAACAACTAGGTGTGGTAGCTCACGCCTGTAATCCCAGCACTTTGGGAGGTGGAAGCAAGAGGACTGCCTGAGCCCAGGGGTTCAAGACCAGCCTGGGCAACTTGGTGAGACCTTGTCTCTATAATAAATCAAAAAGTTAGCCAGGTGTGGTGGCTCGTGCCTATAGTTCCAGCTACTTGGAAGGCTGAGGTGGAAAGATTGCCCGAGGCTACGGTGGCCATGATTTTGCTATTGCACTCCAGCCTGGGTGACAGAGTGAGACTCCAAGTCAAAAAAAAAAGAAACAAAAAAAGATCCCCCCCCACCCCAATTATACTAAATCAAAAAAAGAAAAATATTAAATGTGTCCCTATTAGGGAGAAAAATACTCCTATTATTTCTTAATTTTTAATGACTTAAGTATAATTCTATGGAGTTATTTTATGGTAGTTCATCAATTGTTGAGAATCATCAGAATTTTCTAATGATAAAACACCAAATTAATAGATAAGTACAGGAAGAACTACAGAAAAAAAAATCAGTATTTTTAAAATGCTTCAGAAGACCTTATTCTCAATATGCATATTTACCAACATGATTACATCTGAACTCCTGTTTAAATATTGCATGAAGTCTTTAGCTTTAAACTTTAATTAGATCTATATACTAGTCAACACAAGAAAAAGTAAATAAACTGAACAGATAACAGTTACCAAAACACATATCTTCATACATATTTATAAACAGGTATGAGTCAGAACTTTCAAAACTATACAATTTTAGGATCCTTAACTTTTGAGTTAAAAATATAATTCATCAAATAATATATCTTAATATTAAGCTAATATATAGTACAAGCACTTGAAATAGGGAGCTATTTTAAAACACACTGATTATAAAATGATTTTAAGTGAAATGTGACAAAAATTATTATTAAAAATTCTTTCCCCCAAATACATCCTTAAGTAGAAATGGCTATTATGTGGAAATCCTAAAGCAGAATCCACTTTTGTTACAGTTTTAATGAATAGCAGTTTGTCCAAAATAGATATATTAATGTCATTAATATCTTTATGAAATAAAACATCAATGATATAAAAATATAAGAAAAATGTACAAGGCAAATGATTTGAGTTGACAAATTATACAAGATATCACATGTATGGGTACTAAAGATCTATGAAAACATTCATAATCTTGATTTTACTTTGTCAACATTCAGTGATTTGACAGTAAAATATGCAGGAGGACAGCCTGGGCAACTTGGTGAGAACTCGTCTCTACAATAAATAAAAAAAATTAGCCAGGCATGGTGGCACGCATCTCTAGTTCCAGCTACTTGGAAGGTTGATGCGGAAGGATTGCCTGAGGTCGAGGCTGTGGTGGCTGTGAGCGTGCCACTGCACTCCAGCCAGGGTGAGAGTGAGACTCCAACTCCAAAACAAAAATATGCTGGAGGGATAGATGAGAAATAAAATTATCAGGAAGATCTTACTTTTTGAAAAATGAAGCATAATTTTCTTCCCAGAAAGTTCTCTTTATAAAATTACATAGGTAATTTTATATTTTGTATCATGTCAACTTATTTTAAAAGGATCACTATCTAGGTGATTCATATTTACAGTTTGACAGATCATGGTTAGAGAGGGGTGGATTAGGGTGACAGGAAAGGAGAAAGGTATGGATTAGCACTGAAACACCTTTAGAAATATCTTAATGAACTCTACCTTCCAGAAACAGCTCACTCACAGACAAAAAATACTCCAACAAAGCTAAATCAAATAACACACAAAATTCAGGAAAAATATACTACCACAATTATATATACAATTTGTAGCTCAAATTTTTTCGTTTTAAATACTTGCACACCAATAAAAAATATACAAATGGTCTATTTTTAAATGTACACTAAGAAAAACTTTTCCATGAAAATCAACATAATATAAAAATATCTTAAGGACCACATAATAATCTGTACAAGGCATAGTTCATGAGGAATATTAAGGAAAATCAGCTGCCAAAGTTTTCACAGTCTCTTTTGGAATGTCAAGATGAATTCCTTCAAAATAATGCAGGAATCTGTCAAAATTACAAAGAAAAATACAATTTAGAATTTCTATCTGATGAAAATATTCATTAATCTTTAAATGACGACCTAAAAAGTTATTTTTGTAGGGTCTTTACCTTCTTTTACTTTTTCCTTGTTCTTTTAGCTTCTCAGTCCTACAAATGTTTCGAAGAGTTGGCAAGTATTCAATTGTACTAGCTTGTCTATTACCCACATACAGAAGAGTTCGACTAGAACATACACTTTTAATGACTGCTATCCTCTTCCAAGCATTGCTGTAAATTAAAAGTAATGCATTACTTTTTACTAAATTTTAATGTTCAATAAAAATGCAGCAATCCCAAACACAACCAGTTTTCTTCCTTACCCCTAGTCTAGATTGGATGATACTTCCAGATTAATTTCCTGTTAATACCTTAATTACTCCCATACTGAAAAATCTTAATAGCTATCTGCTGTCTGTCACAGCAAGACCAAAGCTCTTTCTATGTCATTCAAGTTTCCCAAACTAGCCCATTCCAATCTCCTTTGACTCAAAAAAAAAAAAAAAAAAAAAAAGAGTCTCATTCTGTTGCCCAGGCTGGAATACAGTGGCACAATCATAACTCACCTCAACCTCCTAGGCTCAGGCAATCCTTTCACCTTTGCCTCCAGAGTAGCTGGGACTACAGGGGTGCACCACCATGCTTGGCTAATTAAAAAAATTTTTTTTGTAGAGATGAGGTCTTGCTGTGTTGCCTAGGCTGGTCTCGAACTCCTGGGTTCAAGCAATCCTCCCACCTCAGCCTCCCTAAGTGCTGGAATTACAGGCCGGAGCCACTGTGCCTGACCCCTAATCTCACATCACTTCCCTTCCCAGAAATCAGGCTTGTCACCTTAGCTGTCTTATTAGAAGCCACATTATTAATATTAATCAATAGTCCAACATCTTTAAGTTAGTTAAGGAAAAACTCTAATGACTTTCTCTTTACCATTATTACTAAATAAAAAGTAAAAGCAAGAAATACTTACTCCAAATTAGCTGCTGAATGACTAAAGTGTACATTATTACGCATTTGTGAAACATAAAAAGTAAGATCACTGGTTGGATCTCTTCCTAATTTCTTGCAAGGATTCAAGGAGGTTTCCAGTGCTTTTGAAATAGTAGAAGAACATTTAGCAAAACTGAGAGCTTCTACAGCTGCCTTTAATTCTCCAGAGCTTTGAGAAGTCCATCCATCATTACTCTCAAGACTAAACTCATCACAAAGTCCACTTTTAACTTTTCCATTTGTCCAACTAAAGTCATTTTTACCATGTTCCTTTTGTTCCCTTATGTCAGTTAAAAGGGCATCTAAGAAGGACATGTTATCCATGAACTCAGTGAGAGAATTCAAACAATCAGAAACAAGGGCAGAACATTTTTTTTCTGCTGGTGTTTTAGGAGAACAAGGAATAGACTGAATGTTAGAGTCTAAACATCTGTTTAGTTTCTTTTTCTCTGGACTGCTTGGTTTGTCTCTGGCTTTGCTTTCTTGTGAGTTTGAGGAAGATGACACAAGAGACAGGTTCATCAGTTCATCAGGAAATTCCAATTCAGTGTCAAATAAGTCACTATCGTCTAATGTTATAATCTTTTTCTTTTGTTTCTTTTTTGGTGACTTTTTCAGTGGCTTCTCTCCTTCAGAATGTTTCCGAGGGTTACATTTCATGCTTTTTGTTGCTGTACTGCTATCCACAGTTACTGATGAGCCACAAAGGTTTTTTGTTTCTGGAATGACATCAACTGGTAATGGTAGAATGAACTCAAGATTACTATATAAGAAATCTACATTCCGCATTTGGAATTCTGTAAGAAGTTGGATGAGTTTATGCCAGTCTTCCTTTGTTGTCATTTTGTGCTGGAACAATTTGGAGTAAAGTAATGTTATCACAGTACACGTTTTGAACACTTTTCTACCCATATGACTATAGTGTTATTCCTACTCTATATTTATAATTCTATCTTCTACCCCTCATAATTAATCTACTTTTAATACATTAAAATAGTACTGTCTAAAAATTAAACTTAGGCTACTAATTAGTATATACTCCAATTATAAATAGAATGTCATTTACTACTTCTTTAAAATAGTTTATTCATCTGAGACATTTTCTAAATTCCATTCTACTACTATATAATATGCATTTAGAACAATACCAATACACCATTTGTCAAAGTAGTAGAATGTGCTAAAAACAGATCTAAAACATATACAAATTAAAGGCAAATTTAAGTTAAACTTAAGATTCAAAAGACAGGAGTTAGTGGTGGGAAGATGAAAAGAAATATAAACTCAACATTTCAAAATAGACATTGAAGATACCTTTAAAAATGAAAATAAGTCATCAGACGGGGAAAAAATGTTCTTGAGGCCAAACAAGGTCTCAGCACAGCCAGTGTCACATTTGGGAAGGTTTATACATTTCTTTTTAGTGTTTTTAGGGTTATTTTTTGAATCAGGGCCATCTTCACAGCAAACTAGTTGTACATTTCTGCTATTTCTTCCTATAAAATTAATAAAAGAAAATCTTAGTTATATATTTTAAACAAATTGTATCAAACGATTATTTAAAGCCTGAGATTCTTTGATATCTTTTGCACCTATACGCCCATTTTGTTCTCCTCCACATATATGTCTAATTCATTAAGAGTATACGATAAGCATTATTTCTAACAATACATAAACTAAGCAAGGTGGAGGTGGGGACTTTCAAAACCATCCAATAGAAAAGTTGCAAGAAGGCCAGGCTCAGTGGCTCAGCCTATAATCCCAACACTTTGGGAGGCCTAGGGGAGTGGATTGCTTGAGCCCACAGGTTCAAGACCAGCCCAGGCAACTTGGCAAGACCTTGTCTCTATAATAAATAAAAATTAGCCAGGTGTGGTAGCACACGCCTGTAGTTCTGGCTACTTGGAAGGCTGAGGCGGAAGGATCGCCTGAGCCCAGCAGGTCGAGGCTGGGGTGGCCGTGAGTGTGCCACTGCCCTCCAGCCTGGGCGATAGAGGTTCCAACTCAAAAAATAACAATAATAGAAATTTTAAAAATAAATAAACTGGCAAAATTAAAAGACTAATCTAGTTCTGTCAGCAATACACATAAAAAGCTATAATATACTATTTCTTAGGAGCATAAGTTGGCTCAATTAGCTTCAGAGATCAATCTGACAATCACTATCAAAGTGTAAAGTATATTATAGTTTTTGACCCAATCACACTTCTAGAATTCTTCCCATCAGTTACAGACATGTTCAAGGATATATTTATAAGGTATACACTGTACTTTAATGACAAATTGAAGATAATTTAAATGTCCATGAATTAATGGTCCATGAAGTAATGGTTAATTAAATTATGTATATTCATACTATTTTATGGAAAAGTTGTGAAAAAGAGTGCTGACAATAAATTGTTGACTTTAAAATAATCATCTAACTATATATAGTACTGGTTAATTTTGCTAAACAAGTATGAAGCAATATTTTATATGCATAGAGGTCTAAAGTGGCAACCTTTAGGAAGTAGAGGAATATCTTTTACTTTTTTTTTTTTTTTTTTTGAGTTGGAGTCTCACTCTGTCGCCCAGACTGGAGTGCAGTGGCCGCTCCCGGCCACCGCAGCCTCCACCTGCTGGGCTCTGGCGATCCTTCCGCCTCAGCCTTCTGAGTAGCCGGAATTACAGGCACGCGCTACCACGCCCAGCTGATTTTTTTTTTTTTTTTGATTTATTGTAGAGATGAGGTCTCGCTGCCCAGGCGGGTCTCGAACCCGCGGGCTCAGGCAATCCACTCACCTCAGCCTCCCAAAGGCGCGGGATTACAGGCTGAGCCACCGAGCCCGGCTCTCTTTTACTTTTTAACTTTACACGCTTCTGTATTGTGTACATTTCCAATGAGTGTGTATCTGTGTTTTTTTTAAAAGGCAGGAATGAAATGCATATAAAGTAAGATCTTTAAGAAGAGAAACTATGCTATGCTTATTTTCTGTCTTCTAAAGTTATTTTTATTTTTTTCACTAAACTTCTTGGTATAGCAATATACAGTGGTATGGCAAAAGTTATAACTAATTTGGTTTTTACGCCAGGACATTAGCTACATTATTTATCATATTTACTTTTACAAAATAGTTCAAGCTACCAACTCACATTAAATTGAATATATAAGTGTGTCTACTTCAGAACAGAATATGTTAAAATTTTGAACCAATTAAAAAACAAGCTAAGAGGGGATGAATATTACAGAACTTGACTGTGGTTTGATTTAAAGATTTGTGTATTTACAGAGCAGGATCTGTAACTACAGAATTGTGACTATGGAGCATGGAAACACAAACTAAGAATTTCTTCAGGGAAGGAAACATGTCTTCATGTAAGCACAGGGCTTGGCATGGAGAAAGTGCTCAAAAAATGTCTATGACCTGAAATTAGGTAATAATGATGACTGAAGAAAAATAAGAAATAAAAGCATTTCTGAGCCAGGCTTGGTGACTCAGCCTATAATCCCGCGCCTTTGGGAGGCTGAGGTGAGTGGATTGCCTGAGCCCGCGGGTTCGAGACCTGCCTGGGCAGCGAGACCTCATCTCTACAATAAATCAAAAAATCAGCCGGGCGTGGTAGCGCATGCTTGTAATTCCGGCTACTTGGAAGGCTGAGGCGGAAGGATCGCCGGAGCCCAGCAGGTCGAGGTTGCCGTGGCCGGGAGCGGCCACTGCACTCCAGTCTGCGCGACAGAGTGAGACTCCAACTCAAAAAAAAAAATAAAAAAGCATTTCTGAAATAACAAAGTTCTTAGTAAAGATAGAATTAAAAACTGTTGAAGCAAAAGGGAGTGTCCATTATAGTCACATAAAAATAATAACATATCTACATATATTCATGTAGAAAAATCAATATTTTTTATAAGTGAAAAAAGTTGCTAAATAATAATTATAGTTCCATCGGTCCTATAAGAAACCATATGTTTATAAATATATAAGTAACAGTTTGAAAAACTTAACAGTTAGCCAAGTGGTGGCTCATGCTTGTAATTCCAGCACTTTGGGAGGCCAAAATGGGAGGATCACTTGAGCCTAGGAGCCTGAGACCAGCCTGGGCAACAGTGAGACTCTGTCTCCATTTAATAAAAATTAAAAAAAAAAACTTAGGCCAGGTGTGGTGGCTCAGTCTGTCATCCTAGTACTTTGGGAGGCTGAGGCAAGTAGATTACCTGAGCCCGTGGGTTCGAGACCAGCCCAGGCAACTTGACAAGACCTTGTCTCTACAATAAATCAAAAATTAGGTGGGTGTGGTAGCACACGCCTGTAGTTCTGGCTACCTGGAAGGTTGAGGCAGAAGGATCGCCAGAGCCCAGCAGATCAACGCTGGGGTGGCTGTGAGCGTGCCACTGCACTCCAGCCTGGGCAACAAAGTGATACTCCAACTCAAAAAAAGAAAAACTTAACAGTTAAGCTTTGTGGAGGAAGCTGGTCACAGTGGCCTATTTGGGACCAAGACAGGAAGACAGCTTGAGCCTGGCCAGGAGTTTGAGATCAGTCTGGGCAACATAGTGAGACTCTATCTCTATTTAAATAAAAATTAAAAAAAAAAAAAAAAAGAAAAACTTCACAGTTAAGCTTTTGGAGAGGAAGCCGGATATAGCTGGCCTACTCTGGAGACTGAGACAGGAGGATCGCTTGAGCCCAGGAATTTGAGGCTGTACTGCACTATGATTGCACCTATGAACAGACACTGTACTCCAGCTGCTAGGCAACATAGCAAGAACTTGCCTCTAAAAAAAAAAAGGAAAAGCAAAACTTTTAGGGAAGAAAGGAATAGGGTGGGAGTTTTTTTTGTTTATTTTTAACAATGAGACCATTCCATATTACTTTTATAATCCTAAAAATTACCGAATAGCCAGGCGCAGTAGCTCATGCCTGTAATCCCAGCACTTTGGGAGGCAAAGGCGAGAGGATTGTCTGGGTTCAGGGGTTTGAGACCAGCTTGGGCAACTTGGTGAGATCTCGTATCGACAATAAATCAAAAAATTAGCTGGGCGTGGTGGTACATGCCTGTGGTTCCAGCTACTTGGAAGGCTGAGGCAGAAGGATCCCCTGAGCCCAGTGGGTTGAGGCTATGGTGTCTGTGAGCATGCCATTGCAGTCCAACCTGGGTGACAGAGTGAAACTCTGACTTAAAAAAAGAAATTTTTTTTTTTAGAGACAAGGACTCACTATGTTGTTTAGGCTGGTCTTGACTTCCTGGCCTCACGGAATCCTCCTGCCTCAGCCTCCCAAAGTACTGGGGTTACAGGTGTGAGCCACAACACCTGGCTATAGCATAGATTTTTAAATAGGGCCCCATAATGTCATTTCTTTTCTAACAAATCAACTTACGACAAAGGGTTAATGGCCTTTCTTCTAAAATTCCACCTCCACTTCTAATCCAGAATTGTAAGGAAAGGATACTTTTTCTGATATCACAAGCATTTGCACTTAGCAAGGTTACAAAGTCTTTTACATCAGTTCTAAAATTCTCAGTTAAGCAGATCATTTGTAGGTAGCTGGCAACATTTAGCTTCAAAACAGAGAGAGAAAGGTGGTTAGTTGCAGAGTTAAAAGAAATATAGCGATAATGCATATGAACAATATGTAAAAGATAAAATTCACAATATCTTAAAGTTCTTGTGAATGAAAGTGTTCTAAAAAATATAAGGTAATATAACACCAAATTAAAAGCATGTACATATACTTCTTTTATTAATTATATACAATCCAAGACAGCAAAAAGGAAACTTTTATAGGCGATTCTCTAACTTGAACACTGTAGGCAGTTTTATAAACCTTGACAGTTTAGGATTAAATAATGATCTAAGTAATAGTATACAGCTTTATAGAATATTTTACAGTCATAAAAATTATAAATAGGAATACTCTAACACTGAAAAATACATCATTTTTTAAAATCCAAAGTTAGAAACAACAGCAATATAAAAGTATATATTATGTAAATAAGAAATAGAAGAGAAAAAATTGGCTGGGTGCAGTGGCTCACGCCTGGAATCCCAGCACTTTGGAGGCCAAAGCAGGACTGCTTGAGTCCAGGAGTTCAAGACCAGCCTGGGCAACACAGCAAGACCTCATCTCTACAAAAAAATACAAAAATTAAATTATCATAGTGATGTATGCCTGTAGTCCCAGCTATTCAGGAGCCTGAGGTGGGAGGATCCCCTGAGACCAGAAGTTTGAGGCTGTAGTAAGCTGTGACCATGCTACTGCACTCCAGCCTGAGCAAGACCTTTACTTAAAAAAACAAATAAAAGTATTTAATTTGTTGGGGGTAAATGAGCAAAGCAAATTTTTTCATTTTATTTAGTGCTCAAGTAGTATTGCTATAATTTCTTGGTATAACAAAATGTGTATAATTCTCTTCCTATTGTCATTTATAAAATGCATTTTACTTGAAAAACTAAAACAAAAGTATATTTACATTTTAAAGATTTTATAGGACTGCTAGCATTTTCACTATACTAACCAAATGCAATTAAAAAAATTTTTCCTACAAAATGTTTGACTTTATATATACATTACTCCTGTATACTTCTGGGACTTCTGCTTCCAATAAACTGGGAGTTCTGCTTTCAATATGAAGGAACACGAATCTTGTAATCAGTATTAACTATAAACTTTATAATTAACTGCAAATCAATTTTAAAAACTACCTGAAAGCATGAGAGTAGACAAAAGAAAAAAAAAAACCATAGGGGAAATCAAAATGTGGACAAAGCAAATGGCCCTGGATGAATCCCCTTTTCAACTGATTTTTGAGGACATGCTACAACAGGGGTAACTAAAACTCACACAGAAATTCACAGTTACTCACTTAAAGAACCAAAGAACAGAGTCTGGGATGAGTACAGTATCTGGAAAGTAAGAGGGGGAGAATCCAGAAAGTAAAGAAACAAAAATCTGGCCTAAAGAAGGGCTCAGATCACTGGCTGACGCTAAGGACTTCACATGAATGAGGTGTGTCTCAAAGGAGCCGAGCTGAAACTAAAATAACTGAAATGTTTGCTATGTATTCCAGGAGAAAACTTGTTCAGAGAAACAAAGTCTGGGATAAAAATGTAAAATTACTAGACATGGAGAAATAGGAAAATTAACCAATTCTTCAAAGACAAGACAATCAATAGCAACTGAACACAAGATGTTAAAGATGTTGGGATTGGTAGATAAGGAGCTTTAAAACAGCTCGTAAAACTTTGCTTAAGGAAAACACGTTCATATGAATGAACAATAGAAAATTCCAGTAGAGAAATAAAAACTATAAATTCAGGTGGTGGCTCATGCCTGTAATCTCAGCACTTTGGGAGGCTGAGGCGAGAGGATTGCCTGAGTCCAGGAGTTCGAGACCAGCTTGGGCAACTTGGCGAGACCTATTCTCCACAATAAATCAAAAAAATTAGCCAGGCGTGTGGTGCATGCCTGTGTTTCCAGCTAATTGGAAGGCCGAAGTGGAAGGATTACCTGAGCCCAGTAAGTGAAGGTTGCAATGGCTGTGAGCCTGAGTGACAGAGTGAGACTCCAACCCAAAAACAAAAACAAACAAAACTATAAAAAGCAATGAAAATTGTAAAAGTAAAAACCAAAATATCAGAAAGAAAAAATTTCACTCAATGGACTTAATGAAAAGCTTTAAAAAAATCAGGAGACTAGATCACTATAAATGGTAGATTTGTACTTTTACAAGATTTTTGGATTCTTTGTAAAGTAGTACAATTTTAACTCTACACTGTGAAAAACTAAAAGTACGTATTTTAATTTCTAAAGAAACTATTACAGAAAATATGTAAAGAGGTATAGCTAAAAGGCCAATAGATAAATGAAAATGAAATCCAACCAAAAAAATTAACCCAAAAGAAGGCAGAAAAGGAGCTACTTTACATTATATGTAAGTAGACGAAATACGCCAATTAAAAGAAAGATAGTGTCAGAATATATACAAAAGCAGGACACAATTATATGCTGTTTATCAAAAAAATTTTAATTTATACATATACACCAGGCACAGTGGCTCATTTCTTTGGTCCCAGCTCTTGGGAGGCTGAGCTGGGAAGACTGCTTGAGCCCAGGAGTTTGACCAGTCTAGGCAGCAAAGCAAGACCCTGTCTTTTTTTTTTTTTTTTAGAAAGTAGGATTTATTAAGACAGAAAAGCTCCCACAGTAGGAGGGAACCTAAAAGAAGGTCGCCCAACCCTGTCTCTTAAAAAAAAAGAGAGAAAGAGAGCGAGATTCACTTAAAGTAAAAGGATAAGTGCAGGCCAGTTTGCACAATGGATAACGTGGCTGACTATGGATCAGAAAATTCATCTCATGACCATACTTCCTAGAAATATAAGGCTGGCTTGATACTCAACCATCAACATAACTTACCATATTACTAGATTTTAAAATAAAAAAGATTAAAATTATGTCAAACGATAAAATATTTGACAAAATTAAACACCAAAATTAAATATTTAACAGTGAAAAACTCTCAACTACCTGATGATAAGCTTCTATTTTTTTTTTTTTTGAGTTGGAGTCTCACTCTGTAACCCAGACTGGAGTGCAGTGGCTGCTCCCGGCCACCACAGCCTCGACCTACTGGGCTCCGGCGATCCTTCTGCCTCAGCCTTCCAAGTAGCTGGAACTACAGGCACGTGCTACCATGCCCGGCTGATTTTTTTGATTTTACTGTAGAGATGAGGTCTCGCCAAGTTGCCCAGGCAGGTCTCGAACCC